TTCGTCATTGTTGATATATTTTTTTCCTTGACAGAATATAACAAGATCATCAGCAAATGGACTGATGGGCTGAATGATTTAGCGAAGTCTTTGATGGCAATTAGGAAAAGTGCAACACTAAGAGTAGACCCTTGAGGAATGCAGTTTAATTGGATTTTGGTGTTAAATGATTTTTTCCCATACATTATGTTAATCATTTTCCAAACCTCAGAAGTAGGGGCAGATAAATTTAAAGATGATACATATTTTTTCCAGACTTCTCTCTTACTTTTCTTTAAAGTGTATCTACAGGAGGCCCTTAATCCTAGCCTTTAAGATATGTTTAAATAAAGAGTTAGTTGTTCCTATTCTTAAATATCCATTGGAGTTATTTGATGAATTCCATTGTTTTGTATCTCAGCTTCTATCATACTGTGAGGTATTGTTGGGCAGACATTAGACATTATCAGTTTTTCGCTTGGTGTAACTAACTTCCTAGCTTGGATACGTTCGTGATTGGTTACTATTGTTTTATTATCGGTTCCTACAAATTCTGCGACTGTTTCTTCAGTAGTGACATATATGCAAATACGATCATTTACAATCCTAGAAATGACGAGAATTTTATTTTAATCGATTTTAGTAGCTATGACATTTAAATAATCTTCAATTTTAGTATTTGGAAGTAAATTGAACAAAATGGCTTGTTTTTTGCTTGGAAATTTTTTGTTAGTTGGGTTCACAACAGTAGAATATAATTTTGATGTATTGGATGGGGGAGTAACATGTTGAGAATTAGTAAGTCAAAAAATTCCTTCCCATGGATCCTGCATATTGGGTCTATGTTAACTGATTATGGCCTTCATTCTTAAACAGTTTCTTAACCTTTCTGAACAGTAACTTACAATAAAACTTGTCCAGAAATTACTTTACTAAATTACACTATTCAAAATCAAAAATAAACACACAATTATTAGCGACAAGCAAACTGGAATTTTCTCTGAGAATTATTTTTGTTTTTTTTTAGATTTAAATGAGTTTTTAAACTTCCAAGCAGAACCATATACCAGTGACCACGTGGGCAAGTGAAGATGCCATATTTAGATGGAACAACAAAAATACGCATTTCACTTTAAACTTTTATAAAACTTAAAGATTTCAAGTTAGCACCCTAACCATGAAGAGTCTGAAAAAGATATATGAGGATATATCTATATTCAAAGAGCTACAAAAGTGTTTGGGCATAAAAATAACATCAGCTTACTGTGGAAAGAACTGGAAGGTATTCGAAACGAGATACAAAAGGTTTGTAGATAGTAGTAAACAAAATCGTAGGGGTTCACAAGCTTTTGAGTATGAAGAGGCCATGGCATCTAGGCCTACCATCCTAGTTAGCACATATACTATTTCTTACCCCAAAGATTTTATGGATCACGACTACATAACTGATTGTAGTATAGAACAAGGTAGGTACACATCACATGTTAATCAGTTAATCAGGATATTTATTTTTATGTAATGTACACAACTACTTAATTTTCAATTTCCAATCAAGCAATTATTTTGCTATATAGTTTTTTCTGAATGCATGTATTGATCATAATGTATATTCTTCTTCTTCTTCTGGTTCCTATCCGTTTCGGATGTTGGAAATCATATTGGCAATCATAACCTTGCTCGCTGCGGCTCGAAACAGTTCCGTTGAGGTTTTCTTAAACCATGTTCTTAAATTCCGCAGCCATGATATTCTCCTTCTACCGGGTCCTCGCTTACCTTTGACTTTACCTTGCAATATAGACTGTAGCAGGGAGTAACGGTGCTGATTTCTCATAACGTGTCCCAGATATTGCAATTTTATGCGTTTGATCGTAAACACAATCTCTGGTTCCTTCTTCATTTTTCCTAGAACTTCCTTGTTCGTGATCCTTGCTGTCCATGATATTCTCAGCATTCTTCTATAAAGCCACATCTCAAATGCTTCAAGTTTTTTAATAGTGGTGTCTGTAAGCGTCCATGCCTCCGCCCCGTACAACAACACAGAGAAAACAATAGCATCTCAAATGTCTCATTTTTGTATCAAGGGATATGTTGTGACTTTTGAAAATGGCGCTCATTTTGTTAAAGACCGTTCTTGCCTTTCCTATGCGGCACTTTATTTCCTGTAAATTGCTCCACTGTTCGTTAATAATAGTTCCCAGGTAACAATACTGTTTTACTCGCTCTATCTGCGTCCCATTAATGTATAGATGAGCCCCGTTTATATTCTCCTTGCTGATAATCATTTGTTTCGTTTTGTGGGTATTAATGTTTAGTCCGTACTGTTGACTGTACTCGTTTATTCTGTCCATTAGCCTCTGAAGTCCCTCTAAACTATCTGCTATCACCATGGTGTCGTCGGCATATCTAACATTGTTTACTCTTTCAACATTTAGAAGGATGCCTTCGTCTATTCCGTAAAGAGCCTCGTTAAAAATTTTCTCTGAGTACATATTAAATATCAACGGCGATAGGATACATCCCTGTCTAACTCCACGTAGTATTTTTATGTGATCTGTTTCTTCTCCGTTAATTTTCATGTATGCGGTCTGATTTCAGTAGAGTTCTGAAATTATTCTGAGGTCTTTGTCATCCAGGTCTGCCTCTTTTAAAATGTTTATCATCTTTTGATGTTGAACTCTGTCAAATGCCTTTTCATAGTCGATCAAGCACGCGTATACGTCGCAGTTAACGTCCCTGCATCTTTGAATCAGTACCTGTACTCCGAAAAGTGCCTCTCTGGTACCCACTGCGTTAATGAAGCCGAACTGTCTGTCCGATATTTGTTCCTCGCACTTCTTATAAATTCTTCCATGGATGACTCTAAGAAACAGTTTCAACATGTGGCTCATTAGGCTGATTGTTCGATATTCTTCGCACTTTTTAGCCCCCTGTTTTTTAGGTATCGCTATGAATTCTGATTCTAGCCATTTATCAGGGATGATTCCTGTATTGTATATTTTATTGAAGACAGCCGTGATCCAAATTATTCCTTCTTCCTCCAAGAGTTTTAAAAATTCAGCTTCGATATTATCAGGCCCTACAGCTTTCCTGCTTTTCATCCGTTTTATTGCTTCTTCTACCTCGGATTTAAGTATGTCCGGGCCCGTCATCCTCTCTGAAAATGGATGCCTATAATCCGTTCTTTGATCTTGAAAAAGTGTCTCCAAATATATTCTCCATTTGTCTTTCATCTCTTGGGTGTCAATGATTAATTTTCCATTGGTGTCTATGAGTTTCATTTGTGTTCGCTTTTTAAAAGTACCCATTATTTCTTTGACCTTTTTGTGTACATTAAAATTGTCATGCTTGGCTTGTAGTCTTTCTATTTCTGTACATTTCTCTACAGCTTCTTTTTCTTTAGCTTCTCTTATTTTTCTTCTGATGTAAGCCTGCATTTTTTATACTCATCTTTATTTCCTTTAATTAACCTTCTGCGTTCCATTAAGTGAAGGATTTCTGGAGTCATCCAGGATTTCTTCTTTGTTTCTTTGTTTGGTTTTAGCAGATCTTGTTTAGTTTTTTTAATTATTTCTTGGAATTGATTGATTTCTCGTTGGATGTTATTTTCTTCTTTTAGTTGTTTAACTTGTTTGTTAATATATGGCTCCCACTAAAGATATGTGGTCAGATTCAATGTTCGCTCCTGGATATGTTTTGACAGATTTAAAACTATTTCTGAATCTTCTATTTACCAATATATAATCTGGTTTCTAATTACGTTATTATTAATGTATATTTTACATGATGTATATTTAATTTTAGGTGATGGAGTGTCTACCAGTTAGTCACAAAGCTGCACCCAAACAGAAATCTCAACAGTAATCTCCTAAAAGAGGTTAGATCAGACAGGAGATATTATTAC